CTTCTCCTTAAGTTAAAGACAAAAGAAGAAAAAATTCTTTATTTTTGGTTTTGTTCTTGATCATGAGATACAGTATGCAAATTGGAGTACATGAGAAGTCCTGCGCTGGCCTCTGGAGACTTTCTGAATTTGACCAGAGAAAATGAGAAACACACGGATATTTCAAAATGTTTCTAATTGTTTGGTTAAAATAATGCCCACAGTATACAGGAAATTGCTAATGCCAAAGCCTTTTTTTTCCCCTTCCTGATAATTTTAGATTGCTATGCTTTTTTTAAAAATTATTTATTTATTTTTTTATGGTGACATTGGTTAACAAAATCCAATAAGTTTCAGCTGTACATTTTAACAGTAAGGCATGTATATATTTACATTGTGTGTTCAGCTCTCACAGTTAGATTTCTTTCTGTCACCACATATTTGATCCCTTTTACCCCATCTACCTCCCCCCTCGCTATATTCTTTTAAACAGGATTAGGGTAAAGCTTTCTTTGCTGTGCAGCATTTTTCTTAAGGTACCATACATGCCAATATGACAATTAAACTGTACAACTACTTTATATATTAAGCTTTTATATATCCTTCACATATTTATATTCACAGTGTACTGACCACTTTTATTTCCACACATTTAAAATGGGTAATCTATACTTAACAAAAACAGGAATTTTTCAAGTTTTAAGTGCAATACAAATATTCGTTTTCTTAAGTGCTATAAAGATTTTTTTAAACCAAACAATTTCTTTTTCTTAGCTTTTTTTTTTTAATGACGAGCGTTTGTCACGGTTTAATTTTTTACCATGTAGTATTTTCGAACTACCATCATGAGAAAAAAAAAATCTGATTTTGCCTTTAAAACACTGACAAACATGTGGGCCTGACAATATTAGTGGCTCAATAGATGTTTGTTGAATAAATGAACTGATGGTGCCATCGGGTAGAACAGAAGACAAAAACACAGCCCTGGCTCCCTCTCGAATCTGTAATTTTTCCTAAATTCAATACTAAGAAATTCTTTGTTGCCTACAGACCAGACCTGTGACAAGAAGATTTGAGGGTTGAAGAGGAGTCCTGAGATAATTTCTTCATAGAAAGCCTACATTAAATTTTTTAGCATTGATACTACAACAATTTGATTCATTCCTTCATTCATTCAGCAAATTTTGCTCATTCAACGAATTGAGCATTCATAGAAGTAGTAGTAATAATAATACTAGGTAATGCCAATTTAGAATTTATTTTGTGCTGAGCCCTGTGCTGTGTGTTTTATACTGATTATCTCACTGAGTCCTCACAATAGCCCTTAATTAGCCTCATTGTACAGATGAGAAAAGTGACATGCATAAGCCTATATAACTTGCACATGGTCACCCAGAAACTATATGAATTCTAAATTGAAGCCAAGTCAGTCTGACTGAAGTTCCATATTCTTTGATCCTCCAGGACCCCACAGTAGGGATGCCTAAAGATAAAAGAATATGTGGATTCTCCTCCGCAAGGATTATAATGTCATAATCTCAAAGAATGTAAGAGCAGGTCATCTAGGCTCTCTTTTTACAAGTGAGAAATCGAGGCCAGGCCAGTAAACGACGTGATTTACCCAAGGTCACAGAGACAGGTTTAGAATGGCCCCTCTCAACCCTCTGGGTTGTCTTTTAGTCCATTTCTCTTTTCATTTACTACATGGAGTTGAAAACCCCCTTACTGAATAAATCATTAGATCTTTATTATCACAGAAATAAGAAACCATATAGAAATGATTTTTAAATACATAATTTTATCTCTTTAGAAATAATCCTCATTGTTAACTTTCAAACTGACAAATTGTTGAAGCTGCATCTGGATCTTGGCCTCATGAAAAATAAACACTAAAACTGAGTTTAGCAATTTAGAGATTGTGCTGGGTCTCTCAGCTCTGTGCCACCCTAACTTTCCAATTATTTTTCAGTCCCATCTTGTCTCCTGCTCTGAGGCCATTTAATAGGCCCTTACTAAGTGATTGTACAACTTGAACAAAAGCAACATAGGATCAAAAGGATGTTTAGAGCAGCAGAGACGTCAGCGACTAATTCAACCTTCTCATTGTAAGCTGGAGAAAAGGCAGGTCTGGGAAGCACTATAATACAAAATGAACTTGATAAAAGAGTGGGACAGACTGAGCAGAAGTCACAATAATGTAACTTAGAAGTAAAGCTGAATATCCTAGTTAACCATTTTGAACCTCAGTCTCCTTGTTTGAAAAATGAAGATATAGTCCCTATTTTTCCGTTTGCTTACAGATTACTTGTAATGAAGTATATTCTACACTATCTGACACAGAGCATGCATTTAATAAACATAGCTATAATTATTACGATTCAATCCTAGATCGACCACTTTCATTCACTCATTGATTTTCTTGTTTCTACAGGGGAGGAACCCCATGATATTTGTTAAAGCCTTGCTCAGATCTTCATCCTTTGAGTTTCAGCTCAAATTCTACCACCTCATGGAAGCCTTCTGCCCCTGCCAGAATGGGAATTGATTCTCCCTTTCATTCATTCTCTTTAGCTGTAGGATGATCCAGCCTATATATGTTTCTCCTATCTTTGATTTTTCTATGTTTATATCCATAGCATAAATTCCTAGAGGTGAGGGATATGTGCTTTCTCTCCCTTACAGCCCATCACCTTATACAGAGCCTGTACTCTGCAAATGTGTGGCCCTTGTCCTGTATGCATTTTTAACAACTCAATTGCTATGCATATGAAAAGCATTTGAGAATTACGATTATGGAATTGAACAGAGTGAGTTCTGAAGAAGAAGTGAGGCTTTTTATGTTCCTTTGGTTTAGTTTTTTTCTTTTTTTTTTTTTTTTTTTCAGGGAGGGGAGTGGACAAAGAAAAGAAAAAGCAAATATCTAGCTAGGCTCAGCATGAGGACACCTATTTACACAAGGCATTTCTCTTGGAAGTCAAAGTACTCTACAGATCTATTGTTGACCTTATGAGAATCACAGTGACAACCTAAGAACCAGGTAGTATCTTCTCATTTTACTATTGACAGCTTCAGGAAACAATAGAAGCCAGTGATACCTGTTTAAGCCCTGAGCTCCCTCCCCTGGGTTGTCTGTAGTTAGAACTCCTGTTTGGGTAGGGGACAAGAGGCCTAAGGCTGGCTGTGGGAGTGGCAATAGGGGAGGGATGTGCTCTTGGATCCTTCTATGTCTAAGTTGATCTCCCTGAATGATGAGAATAATGATCTTGTCCTCCATGATTGTACCTTCCCAAACTGGTTACTATGTAATTTTTAAAACTGCCAGGAAAAATGAGCAATGAATATCAAAGTGGTTAAGTTGGTGCTCCAAAGCAAAGCTAAGGCACATTCTTGTCGCCTAACAGATGTTAACAATAGATAGTATTTATTAAGATCTTACTGTGTGCCAGTCAGTGCGCTAAGCATTTTATGTGTATTTATTCATTCAAGTCTTAAAACAACCCTGTGGGGCAGTCTCCATTTTACAGAGGAGGAAACTGAGACACAGAAAGGTTAAGCCAAAAGCTACACAGCTAATAAGTGGCAGAGCCTGGAATGACACTCACATAGTTGAACACCACTGTCATCCTCTTAATTATGTTGCTGTTCTGTCTTCCTGTGGCTAGCTCTTTAATTTGGAGCCTAGCACAATGCTTTACGTGTAATATGTGCTAAATAAATATTTGTTGAATTGGAGTAAAAGTAATAAAATTCAAGCATAGTTAGGAATTCTCTACCGCCTTCCCCTCCTTTCAGTTCTGCCCTTGGCTCTTTTCTTAAGTAAGGTATTTGATTTGTAACAGTGTTTCTCCAGTTAGGAGATACAAATCCTTGGAGATCCGTAATTTATTTTTTTTCTATTTATGATTAAAAATGAATATAAACACATGCTGGACCATTGAGATAAGCATCTGATACCAAGTACTGCTTTGTGATTTCAGTGCCTGGGTGTGCTATGCGTGGGCACCACGAGTTACCACTTCAGTCATTACGCTAATTAGAAAGGAATGGTAGAAAGTTAATCTCAAAGTGATGTATTAGAGTCAAGTGAAAGCCAAATGCTGTATTACAATGACACAGGGTGTGAGGAAAGAAGGTGTGATCGCTGGAACAAGGAAAAAGGTGAGAAAACTAGGCCAATATAGGGTACTTCACACACCATGAGAATGGTAGACCCACACAGAACTCAAAGGAACCAAACCTGGGCATTCAGTACTACACGATGCTAGTAGTAGCTGATTAAACATTGCTAACTTAACATTTATAGTTCTGGGAGATTTTTATATTTAATTTATAGATTTGTTTTGGTTTTATTCCAGAGTTGTTCAAAAGCTACAACATAAACTTATATCTGGATCTGGTTTTATGCTTATATACATAGTAATGTAACATTTTTAAAGAAAATAATTTAAGCCAATTTTGAGGAGGTCTAAGAAAATTTTGCCTTTTGAAAACAGTAGAGAACAGCAATTTCTCTCACATTTGAGAAACGCCACACAATAACATGAACGGGAGGCTTTCCTATTTAAAACAGACGCAAACACACTAGGTATGTAATTTACATTTTGGTATGAAATAGTATGAGCAGGCTTTGATAGGAGAAAGGAAGGCTAAAGGCTTGGTAGAAAAAATGTGGCCTCAATGCTTTGAGGCAGGTTACTAAACCTCTGTAAACCCTCTCCCGTTCCTTATCTCTAAAAAAAATAGTGGTAATCTGCACCTTCTTCACCACAACAGCCTATGTGGAAAGCTGTTTCACAGAAGATGCTCAGTATATGGTCATTTAAATACAATACTGATGTATCTGGGAGTCGGCTTCAGCACTAGATTTTTAAATGGTACAGTCATCGGTCTGGCTAGAGCAAGACCACGAATTGTGGGCGCCTTGGAGTGATTCTGGGAAGCAGGCCCACTAGGCAAGGAGGTGGCTCCACCAGCTGGTGCCCCAATAAAGAGCTGAGGCCAGTGGGCTCATCAGCCAGACCGCCACTGAGAAGCTACGAAGGCCCTGACTTGCTCCGGGTCCCAAGCACCGCATTGGGTGCTGTAGGAGAGGCAAAGACTTGGTGGTCCTGTAACCAGAATGCAGGTTTCCGTTCCTTGGAGGCACCTGAGAGATCGAGTGAAGCGGGAAGGAACGCGATCGTGACCTAAAAACTTTCAAAGTGCTTGTGGGGGAGCGCACGGGTTTTTTCCAACTCTTCAAATTGGAGGAGGGGATCCCCATGCGCCAGGTGTGGCCGCGTCCCCAGTTCGGTCGACCTTGGAAGGTACCTGGTCTTTGTGAGCTGGCAGCGGACTCCTAGGCTCGCTCGTGAGGCTGCGCCCCAACCCCAGGGGTGCGCGGTGTTTGAGGGTGAAGGCGCGTGGGTCCTGGGCAGGGAGGGCCCTCCACGAGAACAGCGCTGACAGGCGCCGAGAGGCCGGGACCGCAGAG